GATTGGTCGCGTCACGTTGCGCGCAGGAGACGCTCGGGAATGAGCCGCTCTCCGGCATGCCTCAGGGGAGCCTGCGCGAGTCTTGCTTGGCGAAGCTGGCCTCCTCCAGCCCTGCGCCCCCACACCCCCTGGTCACGCCCGCCATCGCCGGGAGATGCAGTGGGGGCCAGTCCACAAGAAACCTTCCACCAGAAGCCCAACCCTGAGACACCAGGGCGTTCATTCATTTTTGGTGTGGGAGCGTCGCGCTTCCCATCGCAAAACCATCGAAACCCAGGGCACCATGGAGGCAACCAGGGTGTTTCTTGGCATGGGTCTCCACTGCACAGCAGCGGCCTCTATGCTGGTCCTAGCTCGGCGGCGAGAGCAAGGCGGAAGTGATTGGGGGGCAAGCCCTCTCAGGCGGCGGGGCTTCTCAGAAACCCTCTGGCCTTCTGAGAAACCGTCTCCGACTTCGGCGAAGGCTTAGAGCACTTCTCTCGGAAAACCCGAGTCCTTGAGATCCTGCTGAGATGGCCCACCCACTCTGCCTTCCCCCATGGACTCGCCGCTTGGGCGCGATATTATGGGGGGGCGATACATGGGGTGGGCAGCAAGGGCTGCCGAGAAGGGGCCCTTTTGGGCCCAGGGCCCTAAAGGGACCCTAGAGGGGCCCCAAAGAGGGTCTTAGGGCCCAGAAGGGCACCTTTCTTCCCCCCCTTTTATCGCCTCGCATTTCTTCGCGCCCATGCCGCCGCCGACTGGCCCCGTCCAGCCCTTCCTCGTGATGAGTATCAACACCCCGACCACCCCACTAGAGGAAGGAGAACTAGCAGAAGCATAAACTGCCGACAACTCGAGCGGATAGCTGGGATCTGCGCTGGCCCCCCTTCCCTGGCGCGCGGAGGGGGGCCTGGCGCAGAACCCGAGAAAACTCCGCGCGGAACTCCGAGAGATCATGTTCATGCCATTCGTTCTCCGTCGAGCCAGGCCGCGAGAGTCCGGCGGGTGGCAATGGGGGGTGACCTAGCTGGGGGGGTGAAGGAAAGGGCCCTAAGGACCCAAGACCTTATTACAGTGCGGGCGCGGCCGCAAGAGACCCTCGCAAGAAGCCCAACACTGAAAACCCGCGCGAGGTGCACCTAGAGGGGAAACCCGGAACACCCCTAAGCGCAGCAGCAGCAGCTCTGACGGCCAAGGGGGAGTCACCTCGCAGCGCGCGGAGTGAAGAAACCCGGGGTACCCCGACGAAAAGCATGGAGGGGAGGCCCGACCAAAAGAAACCTCCTGCAAGAAACCCATCCCTGATGGATTTCTGGTTTGGGGACGCCACGCCTTCCATAGCAAAACCGTCGGACCCCAGGAAACCCAGGGCATCCTCTGGAGGCAAGCAGGGTGTCTCTTGACATGCGCCTCGGCTGCATGGTCTCGTGCCTCGCGCCCCCATTGGCACCACGAAGCCTGGACTAGGGCGACAAAATCTATACATATCCACTACTCCCTGGCCAGGCCCATCCTGAACCCAGCAGCTGTGTGTACGCCACGCCCTCCTTGCTTGGCCAAGAGGGCGTATACAGTGCTGCTGGGTTCGGGATGGGCCTGGCCAGGGAGCAGTGGATATGTATAGATTTCGTTGCCCGATGGACGAGGATAACATCGATGCGGATGCATGGAGAGAATCTCTGGGAGCGGGCGGCTCGGGAAGAGGCATCGGGCGACACAGGTCTTCTCGGAGCGTTCCTGGAGCGCTCCGAGAGCGGCCCCATACGCTCTGGAACCTATGCCTCCTCGTCCTGGCCCCGTCCGAGAGAAGCGCGAATCCGCTCAGCATCGGTCCCCACACCCCTCCCATAGGGCCCATCTGGCGCAGATTTTCATCGCGGGCAGTCCCAATGGGAGGCCCCAAAAAGGCCACAACGACAATCGAGTTCGAGCCCAGATTCAGGTCACCCCCCATTTCGGGAGCGGCCAAGAGGGGGGCCTCCAAGAGGGGAGCCGCAAGGCAGGGCCGGCGGCATGTGCGCGGCCCAGGGGGGGGGGGCCAGTGACGTAATGAAATAAGAAGAGGCGCCATGACATCTGGGGGAGATCTTCTGGCCCCCGCCATGATGCCACCTCCCCCCTAGTCATCCCCCCCCCTCCTTGCCGCCTTTGACCAGCACGCGACTCGCCCGAACACCGCGAGGGGGGGAGCCCGAGGCGGCGCCTTCATCATGGCGCCCGCGCCCCCCTTCGGGTGCGCGGCCCGCGCGGGGGGCCTCTGCGCCCCGCGGGCCCCGGGCGCCAACAACGATGGGCCTGTTTTCCACCGCCACCACCAGAATTGGGAGGGGGAGGGGGTCCTCCTCCTCCTCCTCCTCCTCCTCCTCCTCCTCCTCCTCCTCCTTTTCTTTCTAATCCTCAACCTTTTTCTCTCTTGCCCTAATCCTTCACCTCCTTCCCCCTCCTCCTAATCCTCTATTTCCTCCTCCTCCACTCTTCCTCCACCTCCTCCTCTCTTCCTTTTCCTCCTCCTCCTCCTCCTCCAACTCCTCCTCCTCCTCCCCCTCCAAATCCTCCACCCCCCCTCCGCCAAATCCTCCCCCTCAACCTCCTCCTCATCCTCCTCCCCCTCCTCCTGATCCACCACCTCCTCCTCCCCCCCTCCAACTTGTGGCGGTGGTGGTAGAAAACAGGCCTATCAACAACAGAAAACGGGGGGGGGGAGGGGCGGGGCGGGGCGGGGACGGCCGCCGCGCCCGACACTCTGCGGCCAGGGCGGGCGGGGCGAGCGGAAGGGAGGGGGAACGATAGGGAGCACATGGGGGCATGTCGGCCCCCATCCCAGGCCGTGCGTGTTGTTGGGGAGGTCCTCGGCTGGGACCAGGAAGAACTGGGGCCCAACCCTGGGAGATACGACGGGGGGGGGGCGTCCAGCCTCGATGGGGGTGCGTCCGGGTAGCCCTCTTGGGGGGAGTGGAGGGTAGGGGGAACGATCGGATCACGGGGAGCACGTCGGCCCCTATCCCAGGCTTTTTGGGAGGGTTTCGACTGGGACCAAGAATATTTGGGGCCCAGCCCTGGGAGATACGACGGGGGGGGACGTCCATCCTCGATAGGGGGTGCGTCCGAGTAGCCCCCTGGGGGTGTATCCCAGGGCTTGCCCTCCTTTTCTGGGCGGCCCTTTTTTGCCGCGAGAACTCGGGGGTTGGGGGAACAAATACCGCCTGCGATACAGCAAGGGCCAGACCACAACAAAACTTCCGCAACAAAAAAAAACAATCCTGAGACCACAGGACGTCCATTGTTTTTGTTGTGTGAGAACGTCACGCTTTCCCTCGCAAAATAACCGAAACCCACAAAAGTGGAAACAATACTGGTGGTTATTGGCATAGGTGTTCCTCTGTACGGGTTCAATCGATGCAATTGTTTAAACATGTTTCCCGGCTCCCCCCCCAGTGGAAATGGAAGGCAAACTGGCGCCTTCGGGTGGGGTTGGGGTGGTATGCTGTCGGTGAGAGGGGGGACGGGGAACAGGTGCAGGACGGCACCCTCAGCTCATGCAGCAACGTGCAGATGCAGCGTCCAAGGTAAGGCCGAAGCCAACAACGACGAGCCACACAACGCGAGCCAGCGCGCGAGCCGCTTCCCGCGAACGCGAGACACGTGTCTGCGGCGCAGGAGCACCCGTGTTGAGGACGGTCGGGTCATATACACCTCACCTTCGCCCGCGACCCTAGAACCCACTGCAAGCTGTGGAGCCGACACACCAGGTCGACGTTACCATGCACACGCCGCAGGACATACGCCCAAACCTATGATACACAACGCTCGACTGACCGGCTTTGAGACTGGAGCGGTCGCCACAACGACCTGGAGTTTGGATTCGGCGGGCTGTGCATAACGGTCGCGCTGCCACACGATCGAAGGCCCTGCAAAACAAGCTTCAGCTGTGAGCACCTGGCGGGGGTTTCGAAACATTGCCCCTCAAAAAAGGCGGCGATGATTGAAGACAACGACGTCGCAGTACACGCGGCCAGACGGAAAAGGAACGGGCGTCTTAGGAACACTGGCGGCTAAGCCCCGTCATGCTGACCCTCCCCCCACGAAGTGACAATCACACGCGCACCGTTCCTGTGCTGTCGTTGTATTTTGATTATGGACATGCAGATGAAGCGGAGGAGGACGATGAGGAAGAGGGGGAGAAAAACAACATCCTTCTCCTCCTCCTCCTCCTCCTCCTCCTCCTCCTCCTCCTCCTCCTCCTCCTCCTCCTCCTCCCCCCCCCTCTCCCCCGATACCTCCTCCACCTTTTTCTGCTCCACCTCCACCTCCTCCTCCTCCTCCCCTCTTCCTGTTGTTCCTCCTCCCTCCTCCTCCTCCTCCTCCTCCTCCTCCTCCTCCTCCTCTTCCTCCTCCTCCTCCTCCTCCAGCGGGCGAGAATGGACGGATCCGCATGAATGTGGTTCAAGCCATCGCACGGACACTCCCAAAGGGCATCCAGAAAGTGCGGAGCTAGCGCACTGCCCATCATGTTTCCAACATGCCCACATCGGGCAGACACCGCATGAACATGAACGGAATGGTTTTGAACCTGGGGGGAGGAAAAATAGAAAGAGTGAGCAGTACAAGGGAAACCAGGGGGGAAAACAACACAGTCAAACACATGGCCCATCCGCGATGTTGCAACACATCTCTTTTTGGTTTCAGTATGATATTTCACCGCCGCCGTGCCGCGGGCACGTCGTGGAATGCCGTCAGGCCCAGAGGATCCTTCAGTCCCCAATGTCGGAATGCTCCGAATGGACCCGCACCCTCAAACTTTCGACGCTCGAAATGGGCACGGACAAAAAGGGGTACAATGCCCAACAACAAATGGTGTCCCAAACCAACAGCGGCCGCTGTTGGGCAGGCGGCCTTCTGTCTCGAATGGACACAGGCCGCGGCGGCGTGGACAGCGAATCCTGTTTAAAATGAAATGGAACTGCTGTTGTGCATTTTAATCATTTTTTCGCATCTATTTCGGGCGCCCAAACAAACCACGGGCAACCTCGAGCGATCCTGACCGATGGCGGCTAAGACCGGCGTTCCCCGCGTGGACCTCCCCGAATCCTCCGCGCATGATCCCTGGTCGGGTTCCAGACTTCCAGCGCACTGCCGACATGGCGTCACGGTGCGTCAGGTTCCTGTCTTGACGAGACCATGGCGCTGGGTTCTGACATCGCGGGGATCGTTCAACCTTGGACGATCGGCCGTTTCCGAAAAGTCCAAATCGTTCCACATCGAACGATTCTGGGACGCCCGCGGCGTTCAAAGTTGAACGCTGCTGGCGGGGTCGCCACCGGTCGACGCGACGCGAACCGACCGTACCTTTCTGGGGCGCTCTGGGGAGCCCCCTTGGCCATCCCACACATTCTGCAGGCCAGCCCAGTCGGCCAGCATCACCCACAGATCTGTTAGACGAACGGCTGGGGGGAACAACCGAAATGGAGCTAGAACCTGGATACGCTTCCGACAACCAAAATATTCGTAGTGGCGACTTCCAAGACATCAGAATATCAACGGAGACCAGGATGAGGAAGCGCAAGAGCACCTTGAACGCCCAAGTAGGATCAATATCAGGTCGTGGACAGGCTCCATTGCGCAACTTTCCTGGTCGCCGACGCACCGTAGAATGTGGTGGGCTGGCTCCTGAAATCCGCGAAGGCGACGCACTCACGGACGGCCAGCGGGGCCCACCACAGCACGGACAGTACTGGTCACAATCGAAGTCGTGCGTCCCTCCGCGCGCGTGAGCTGGCCGACCCACGCATATATGCGATAACCTTCTGCCACCCCGCTGGGGAGAGGGCGCCTCGAAACTTCTTCCACGCTTTGCCCGAAAGGGCTCCTCTGGGTCCAGCTGGAATCTGACGCCTCTCTCCGTATCGTACTGCGCGAACACCAAACCGATCGCTCAAAGAAAGTCAGCAGGCCGCGCTCGACCCAGGGGTTGTAGTCCACTCCCAATCCGTTAGTAGGCGCACGGCCGTGAATACAGCCGAATACGCTGGGCGGTACTGTATATGCAATGACCAACAGCGTCCACGGCACCACCAAAGGCACTTCGTCCGCATAATAGAACTCATAAGCTTCGCAACCACATCCGCAGGTGGTAGCGTAAAGACCAGGCAACACCAAAGCCATCGAGGTACAACATGTGCACCAGCAGCTCGTAGTCACGTACGTGAACTTCCGGGCAACTGTCGTAGTGCAACGATGTCTGCGTACACCTTATTCCGTCCTCCCGCTGGTGTGACGGGATCCCTGGGGTCATCAGAGACGGCCTCCACCCCGATGTGCTCGATGCGGCGGAACTCGCCGCGGTGTCACTCCTGGCGCTTGCTGCGGTTCTCCACGGCCCCCGTCTCGGCGTCGAAGCGGTCGGTCGTGGTGATGTCGTCGATCAGCTGTTGGTCGCTCTTGCACACCAGGGAGCGGTCGTCCATGAACAGGAACTGCTCGCCCTCGACCTCCCAGGGCGCGAGCGCCGAGCAGAGGACCTTGGGCGCACAGGAGTCTCCCTGGGCCAAACTTGGGGATGACCAGACCACTTCATCATATAGTGCCCCAACTACTTTGCAACGTCGTGGGTCAGACCACGCCGCGACAGACACACTAGTCGCGCGGCCCGTGATCCCCTCTCTGTGACCTTCTGCGTCGCAGACGCCCAAGACCGCCCATGAGGCCTGCAGATATCTGATATATCCTTCCCCGAACGTCGGGAGCTTTCAAAAGGGAGCGCGCACAAAAGACGAATTCGAAATGGCGGCATGGCCCCTCTTCCACCCTCCTCCCAAGATGCCCCCTGCGAGTTCCTGAAGAAATGACGACATGACGGCCTGTTGGGCGGCATTCCAACGGGAAGCCCAAGAAGACGCTCAAGGACAAATAATGCAAAATGGTTTCATGACCTCTCCGACCCGATCCAGTCGAGGCTGCCAAAAGGCCCTCGATGCGTTCCCAAGAAGCCTCAAAGGCCTCTTGGTCCAAGGAGCTCCAGGAGGCTCCCAAAAAACCTCCCGAACACGCTCAATTACCCACTGCGCCCGCCCCCTGGTACGTTGAGGAGTGGTTGAATGCCGGAAAACGTCAACTGAATGTTCTGCCTTCTTCTATGGGACCCGCTCTCCCAGTCACAGATAGAAGCCCCCACCTCCAGCTGTTGCAAATTTCATTGAACAGCTTGTCTGTACAGTCGGACCTAGGACAGAAAAACCTCCTCCAACAACATAAGACCGTCCGCTGTCCAAAAAACACAGGACTGGACAGGGTACCATCCCAAGGAATCGCAAGAACACCCAACAAGCACGCAAAAAAGGTACCCTCCCCGGACCGACCTCGATCACATACCTCGGTCCGACTGTGCAAGAGTTCTGTATCTGGCTCCGTGCCCAGAGGCACAAATAGGAGCGTCCTCAAGTTCCATTCGAACTCTCTGCATTCGCGCAATCTTGCGCGTCCAAAAAAAGGGAGTGGGCGCAGATCATGGCGGGCGGCATGCGCTCTATCCAGGGGGGGGGGGCGGGGACGTAATTCAATCGAAGAAACGCCATGACATCTGGGGAACGGCCCCCACCATGATACCCACCCACCCCTTACAATGGAGGCTGGTCCACAAGAAACCTTCCGCAAGAAACCCAACCCTGAGACCCCAGGGCGCCCCGTGATTTCTGGTGTAGGAACATCACGACTTCCACAGCGAAACCACCGAAGCCCAAGAAACCCAGGCAATCCTGGAGGCAAGCAGGGTGCTTCTTGGCATGCGGCCCCCACTGTAGTCATCGCCCCCCTCTTGGCCGCCCCCAATTGAAGCGCGTCCCACCACCCCAAATGCGGGCGCCTTCTCGGGCGCTCCCAGGGGGGCGGTTGCCAGTGGCCCAAAGACCGGTCGCTCGGGACACCTGCACGTCCGACATCGCCAGAAATCTCCGAGGGATGTCAGGCATGAACTAATTCGAATCGAAAGATCGAATCGGATCGAAACCGGGTCGGATCGCCAACGAATCGTCCCGAATCGGATCGAAGTCGAATCGCCGCGCCAGAATCCAACTGGCACCGGCCGATACCGGTAACACGGACGGGATCGAATCGAATCGGAATCGCGGTCCCAGCTGGCGAATCGAATCGCATCGAATCGTAGGCGGCTCTGCATGTCCAACCTCGCCAGAAATGGCTCCGAGGACCGTCCTGACGGACGCCCTCTTGGGCGCCTCCTGGGACGTGTTGGAAGCCCTCGAGGGCGTCCCAAGACAACGCCGAAATGGTAAAAACCTGTGCGCTTCTCCATGGTTTTGGTGTTAGCCTTCCTTTCTTCGGTGTCCACAGCGCGCAGTACCGCCCAAGATTGCCCGCAAACTGCCTAAGCTCTCCCGGGCCCAAAAGGCCCCCGAGACAGCCCCTAAGAGAGGCCCAGTAAGGGAAACACGAACTGACATTTTGAGCCTTCCGCCCTAAGATGTCTATGACTGACATCCCCGAGAGGCACCCCAGGTGCCCACAAGAAGCCCAAGGAGGCACCAAGACGCTTACAAGATGCCCTCGTCGGGCTCCTTTCGAAAGGTCCCCCAGTAGATCGCGACGGGCACCCAAAGGACCCCTGACTGACAACCCAGCACGGAGGCAGGATGGGCCGAAGACTACTCTCTTTCTCTATCTCCGTCGGGCGACGATGTCTCCCGCTGCCTCCAAATGCCTCCCGCCGCCTCCTGTCTCCTCCAATGGCCTCCCGCCACCCGTGGCTTCCAAAGCTCTATCCCCATCCCCACCGCCATCCCCATTCCTACCCCTCTCGATCTACACGTGCGTATGTACGTGTATATATATAATCCCCGATTCCACCCCTACCCCTCTTCATCCAAATGTGCATATTATATATGTACATAGAAATGTAAATGTGTATATGTACATATATATATATACACAAGACTGCATTGGTGCTGCGCGCCATGCACCTTGGTCCTTTGAGTTCTGCACGCAAGCGGAATGCGTGCGTGCGTACATGCGCGCATGCATGTATACACGCGCACGTGCATGCACGTTCCGTATACATGTATAGGTGTATACAATATACTTACATTGTTGTAGGTGTGTATTCAGCGTGCATATGTACATATAAATTTCTGTATGTAAGGGTATGAACATGCATATGCAGCTCGTACGGGGCATCCTCGGGCATCTTCGCTGCATGCCACGAGACCCTCAACGACTTGGTCACAGTGCGAAATGTCATGGGAGCAAAACCAATCTTGGCATTCGGAAACATCGTGTGGGTGTTTGCGGGGCCCTCGTGGGCCGTTTTGGCGCCTTCATGGGCAGTCCTGGGGCCTTCTTGGGCCGTCTTGGGGAGCGTGGGCCCGCTGGAGCTCCCTTTGGACCCATCTTGGGCACTTCCGACGACCTCCCATGGCCCTTTTGGGTCTGTGCTGGGAGCCCTTGGGGGGCCTCTTGGTTCCATTATGGGCTGTCTTGGGGCTCTCGTTGGCGATCGTGGGGCCCGGCTCGGCCGTCTTGAAGCCTTCCTGGGGGCCTTTTGGAGCGTCTTGAGGCGATCTCGGGGCTTTGAAACCGTCTTGAAAGCTCATGACATCCGAAAGGCGGAAATGCTAAAATTGTAAGTTTTACGAAGGGAATGGGACGATTGTTGTGCTTTGAAGGCCCCTTGGAAAGGTCTTTGGGGTGCCCTGGGGGTCTTGTGGGCCGTCCTGACGCAATTGGAGTCCCTCTTGGAGCGCGCTTGTGCTGTCTGGGGCCTCCCTTGAGCCTTTCTGATAACCCCTCGGATCGCTCTGGGTCTGCTGGCAAGGCGTTTGTGGAGACCCGGAAAGCCGGGTGACCTTTCCCAAGGACGTCCAAGGGAGCCCGAGAACCTCAGATCCCGGGGGTCAAGTTTTTTTTGGGGGGGGATGGTTTCCCCCCCCCCGGGCTTGTAAAAATATGGGAAGAGGAATGGATATATAAAGATGTATTCATCGAGGCGAGCGCGAAACGTCTCAAATAGTGTGTGTGTGTGTGTGTATTTTTAAATCTATAGATATACACATATATATATATAATATATATAAGCATAAAAATCACCCAGCCCCCTTGCGGGACCACCAGGCTGTAGGCCGGAGGTTCGCAGTTTCCTGTACCAGTTGCAGTTTCCAGTTTCCTCTGTTACAGTTCTGCTTCTGGCTGCTTACTGTTCCTTGTTGACTTCTTGCTGTTTACTGTTCCTTGTTATTTTTACCACGCCCAAATCGTATTGTCTGAATTGCTGGGGTGGGTAAGAATTGTCACCTCTCACGCAGATCGGCGGGGTCAGGGTCTAAAAACACAATGGATTTGCCACACTTCTAAATTCGGTGACACCCCTCACGCAGATCGGCGGGGTCAGGGTCCAAAAACCCATGGGAGGTGCCACATTTCTGAAATTCGGTGGCACCTCTCATGCAATTCGGCGGGGTCAGGGTCCAAAACATACAGGGGGTTTGCAAATTGTCTGAAATTCGGTGGCACCCCCCACGCAGATCGGCGGGGTCAGGGTCCAAAAACACACAGGGGGGTTGCAAATTGTCTGAAATCCGGTGGCACCCCTCACGTAGATCGGCGGGGTCAGTGTCCAAAAACACATGGGATGCGCCACATGTCGAAATTCGGTGGCACCCCTCACGCAGATCGGCGGGGTCAGGGTCCAAAAACACATGGGATTTGCCACATTTCTGAAATCCGGTGGCACCCCTCACGCAGATCGGCGGGGTCAGGGTCCGAAAACACATGGGATGTGCCACATTTTGAAATTCGGTGGCACCCCTCATGCATCTCGGCGGGGTCAGGGTTCAAAAACACATTGGATTTGCAACTTTTCTAAAATTCGGTGGCACCCCTCATGCAGATCGGCGGGGTCAGTGTCCAAAAACATATTGGAGTTGCTACATTTCTGAAATTCGGTGGCACCCCTCACGCAGATCCGCATGGCCAGGGTCCAAAAACATAAGGGATTTGCTACATTTCTGAAATTCGGCGACACCCCTCACGCAGATCGGCAGGGTCAGGGTCGAAAAACAAACAAGTCCCGACACTGCTTCACGGCGAAGCGAAAGCCTCATGACTTCGCTCTTCCATGGCACATTATCCGAGAGAGGAGGCCGGCGGCAGGGGGCGAAGCCCTTACGGATGTATGTGTACATATATATATATATATATATATATATAACAAGCAACATGCCAAACATTGGAAACTCCCCAAACCCAGAATATCACAGCGTATCGTGGCGCCGTGAGCGTTTCGTTTTGATGATAGTTGTATTGAGGATCCCGTCAGTAAGGACTCCTTCGACAGGATGCCTCAGTATGGGATCCATCGTAAGGACTTCCAAAGTAAGGAATACTGAGTAAGGACCCCGTTTGGCAAGGAAAGACACCCATGATAGGGATCCCGTGAGAAGGGAAGTGTTTGGCAGCAAGGGTCACAGGCTGATGAGTCAGATTGAAAAGGCAATTTAACTGAGCGAAGCGATTGTGCAGCTTCATGAAACGACAAATACCCCAGCTTGCTGCTTGAGGTTTTGAACGTTTCGGGGGTGTGAGGGTCCGGGGGTCGCGGGGGTGTGGGTGGGTGGGGCGATCTATGTGCGTATCATGTATAGGTGCGTGCATCTCTATCCACAACGCTCTTTTATCCCTGCGCTGCATCCCTATCCCATACCGCTTCCCGATACCAATAACCCCATACCCCTGGTCCTGTAGCTAGCGGCATCCCACTCGT